CGCAGCTGGGCGGATCCCGTCATCTACGTCGGGATCCGCTCCGGCTGCGGCGTCTCAGTATACCGCGAGCTGTAGCTCACGGTATACTGAGCTTAGGGTAACGGGAGGACTATGGGGAAAAACACTGACCCCATAGTTCTCCTTTAACAAATACAGGAATTTAACCAGCAAGATATAGGATTCCTCAGGCGGTCAAATCTTGCTAAAATTCTACAGATAACAAGCCAGAGGTTATTCCCCATGAACACCTTTAAACTTGTGACCCTCTTTTCAACAAATGACAAGGCTACATCAAAAACCGACACGGATAACAGTATGACCTTGAGATGACAACAACAAAAGCTAGCACTGAATGTGCCCAGAATGATATGTGGTGTTCTGGCAGGCTTCAGTGTCACAATATGGTATATATTATGCAATTAGGTAGCTATGAAGTATGCAGTTATGAGGTTATGAGGTAGTAGCATGGGTAATATGGTGACTAATTTGTGAACCAGTGTGCTGCGCTTGGTATTGCAATACGTGCTATATTTATACCACAAACGAAACCAATATAAGTGATCAAAGCCTACTTGCAACTAAATGCAATCCAAAAGTGCATATGTGCATGGACGTTAATAAATACCCGTGTCATATAAATATGGTGAAAGTACGAATATAAAACTGATAGGTTAAATATGATAAGTTAAATAAGTTAATGAATAATGCATATGTGTACGTGTATTTATTAACGTCCATGCACGACACGTGTATTTATTAACGTCCATGCACATATGCACTTTTGGATTGCATTTAGTTGCAAGTAGGCTTTGATCACTTATATTGGTTTCGTTTGTGGTATAAATATAGCACGTATTGCAATACCAAGCGCAGCACACTGGTTCACAATTGATCACTTCGATAGATATTGCTGCAGCTGGATTATAATCTTTTGGATTACATTTTTTGATACTTTGATATTTTTATATTTTTGATACTATTATATCTTTTCCTATTTTTTCTGTATTTTGGTTTTTGATTTTTTCATATATCCTAGCGCAACTACCTTGGTCACCATGGTGACTAATTTATATGCCTTTTTATATGCCTTAGGTTGCCAATTTTGGATAACAGCAAATTGCAGGAAGGGTGAACATTAGCATGTCCAAATTCCTCTAAAAAGCAGTGAAGCTAGTTTGATAAATAGGTGTACATATAGTTATTTGAATGCATTGTTCAATTTCAGTGTTCTTCTTTTATAACTGGCTATTATTTTCTTTATTGTGATATTCCATGTAAGTATTGTATACGTCAGTACTACCGTTTTTTAACAGTGTTTTGTTTTAATTGCCAATATATGCAATGACATACCACTTTAGATCCCAGTCTGTGTGGACAGCATGCCCACTTTCTAAATTGGTGGAATCCACAGGCAGTTTAACTCTTCAATAAGACCTAGAAGTTGAATCCAATGTATGTTTACTTTAGAAAAGTGAAATACCAAGCATGTTTTTCCATACTTATGAAGTGTAGGAAAACAACAACCTTACTAAGCCCTGTCTCTGTTTGGAAAGTGAAACTAAATTGAGCAGTAGAGTGAGAGGCAGGCAGTGTCTAGCTAGCAACCATGTCAACTAGTTCCAAACAGGAGGGGGACATGAAAACGTATCAAGGGTACAACATTAAACAGGTTCTTGTAGCAGCACAAACAAATACTTGCTAATGTACTGGCTTCAGGAGTTTCTAAGTCACTGACCTGAAACAATCATGCATCGAAAAGAAAGAATAAAGTCAAATACAATTATGTGCATATGTGCAAGTGCTTCCTTTAACTCCAATTACTGTAAGTCTTGTTGTGCCCTAGTAAAGTTTAGTAGGAAAATTGTCTAGCTAGCAACCATGTCAACTAGTTCCAAACAGGAGGGGGACATGAACACTTATCAAGGGTACAACATTAAACAGGTTCTTGTAGCATCACAAACAGGCTGGATAGGGTTTAGACTTTCTTTTTAGTCTGACATGTTTTTAGGCAACTGTTTTCATTAATGTATTTGAGGTCAATGCAGTGATCTACTTCCCTTTCTAGACACAGCATTACACACATCAAGTGACCATGGAGCAAGTCAGAAGCTGTCTATATAATGTCATGAAAGAGTGTTTGCCATTTTCAGTAAAGGAGGTTGAAAACTGCTGAGCCATAATCCTTAAAGCTCATGATTATGGGTTACTATGTCAATGTGCTTTAAGAGATAATGAAGGTTAGAGAAACTCTGGTGCAGTACCATTCTCATGTAGACCCTTAGGAGGGACATATACAAAAATACTGCACATTCAATCAATATGCACATTTATTGACCATTTCTATTTTTCTAGGCAATAGAAATGGTCATCCACCATTTGCATATATGAGCAGATTCAGTTACCACATTTTCCATTGAACTAAAGCGGCAATAGTGAACTGACAGAATCTGCTGAGAATCTGAGAGAAACGCATTTACTGCATAGATCCATCATCACTTTAACGAGGCTGTGCAGACCTAATCTTACTGGTTTTTGGCTTTACATCTTTACATATACAACACAATGTATGTGTGTATCATATTTCTGTATTTGCAGAAAGAAAAAGAAAATTAATGCAGCCAAAATAAGTAAATGTTAATACAGGAAAAAAACTACCCTTATATAGCCCTGCAAAAATATGTTGCTTTAACTAGACTTCAGCACTTGATCTTGAATAATAAAAGTTCAAGACAATTAGTAATATTGAAGACAGCAGATGGTTAATAGACAGGCTTATATATACTTTGTGTGCTTATGGTGAGGACATAGCCCCAAGTGATATTACACTTATTCTTTGACCTAATTATTTGGCAAAAACAGAGAGTTACAGCAATACTGATATAAGCCAGTTCTCTGAGTGAGCCAACATACTGCACACAGAACCCATGACAGATAGTAATTGCCTGCTGCAGCCAATGTGCGAAATGTAGCACTTCAAGCTGTTATGGATTCCAGGCCTAGGAACAAGCCATTGCCCAAAACATTTTTCTCACCTACAGCTGGAATGCAGGACACATTAATTTTATAAGTCTCAAATTAACACTATGATACAAAACACACACCTGTTAAGAAGATGAAAAAGTAATAATATGTGAAAGTACACGGGATGTAGTTTCTGAAATAAATGTGAACCTGGTTTAGTTATAAACTATAAGCCCTGTCTAATGCATTTTGAAAACCAGGGATTCTCAGAGCAATCTATGCCTCTAACATCGCTTTGGTGTTGCTTGTGACATCTTGTCAGAAGGACATTACTTTTGTAGTGCCTGTGCCCTGTACAGTAGGTGCTCATGGTACCATGAATCTCTCACCTAACAGAAAGCTATACTAGGTTTCTACTGCTGGTTGTCCTTGCTAGCACCATAAATATACAGTCTTAAGCCGGGTATACACAATTCCGTTTTTTGTTTTTTTTTGTTCAACCTGCGAGCTGAACAGAAAAAAATAGAACAGATTCCTGTGTTAATGCTTACAAGTGTGTATGGATGAATTTCCCGCATACAGGCAGCTCAATATGTTTAATGTAAGCACAACTTGTGGGGATACAATACAGACATTGTAATTGTTTACTAGTGAGTTAATGACTGGAAACAGAATGCAGACATTTGAAGAAGTATTGGGAGAGTAAAATGTACTCTTCCTAATACTTAGAGTTGGTGTGTGACACTTGTCACATGCCAACTTTATAGCTCAAGAACTGAGTGATCACAAACCGCTGATTGCTCAGATCACGGCTTTTCCCTGCCCGCAGTGGAACGGAACGCTGGCAAAGTTTTGCCAGGCGTCCGATCGCACTGCGGGTGGGGGGGTGTGTGGAAGCGGTGCCATTGAATACAATGCACCGCCACGCCCCCTCCTGCCCCAAAACGCAAGGGGAAGTTTCTCAGCGATCGCGGTGCGTTCCAGCAGCTACCACTCTGGAACGCACACACTTTCAGTGTGAACAAGGCCATGGCACATCACTTACAAAACAATTGCATTTCAACATTTACCTCATAAAATATGTTTTCCTAGAGCAGAGTTTGCTTCTAAAATAAGAATTAAGTTTCATGGCACACACACTAGTAAGACTATACCGAGAGTGATCTACTCATCTTCCTTTAGATCATTTATTGCTGAAATAGATGTTCTCCCTGCCTTGGCTAAACATTTGATATCAATTCTGAACAGGAAAATTAGCACATTAGAGCCTCACAATTATTTGATACTGTTCCAATACCATACTTTTGTATTGCTCTAAACAGTTTGAACACTTCCCTACAAACTACTCATCATCTCTGACTTGTATTGATTCTGAATGCTAGATCATAAAGAGACCATGAAATTTTAACATTAAACTGAACCTATATAAAGTCCTCCTGGTTTTTACAGAAGGCCCCTCCTGCCTTCACATGCTTTCTAAAGTTTCCATGAACCTCACTCTAAGATGCAAATAGCGATCAAAGTTGACAGTGGGCTGTTTTTTCCTGCCCGTGTTTTTTTATCGACCATCAATACCCACAACCTAGGACGTACTTCTGCATCAAAAATAGTATGAGCAAAGCCTTAAAATGCCACAGGTCCTGAATGGCCCAGTCGTAGAAAGTAATGCTTAGATCAGATGCATCACATGTAAGAACAAATGGGCATTGCATGGCTAGATTTAGGACTGCATAGTGAATGTGTACCTGTACTTCAGCATTTATTTCTAACATAATCATCAAGTTCCATCCCTGGACAATTAGAGAAAAATAAATAACTGGGTGTAAGTTAGCTGACTTTGTCAAATGCACTTTCTAAATAATATAGTATTGCCTTTGAAGAGAAGTGTATTTATGTAGCAGTAAACATGCTAACACTTCACAATCATCAACCAGTGATAATAAGAGTGCTGACATCTTCGTTTACCAGTCAATGGTGATTGGTTGGGCTTAAGTAACTGTTAGATTTAAATGTTTACAGCTTCATCCTTCTGCACATCTTCCAAGCACTTCTCATGAACTCAAGATAAAAAGGTAGGTCAATATTTTATATTTTCTATGTTGCTTTGACTTAGATTGAGCATAGATTCCATAATATTCTTTTGTTAATAGGTCTAATAGAACAAGCTCACAATATATTAGTTCAAAAAAGAAAAAAAGGAAACAATTTTAAAATTAGCATATCACAAATTGTAATCATCCAGAAATCAATAGTATGGAATTTTATTTACACATATCCTAGTTTACTGTTTTCATAATTTAAAATACCTTAAAAAAGAACTTTGGGCAACATTTTTATTAACCCTTGCAGTGGGGTTACCCCACACTGCAAGGGTTGTCTGCACGTTTTGGTCTAGGAAAGAAAATGAAAAAGTTATACTTACCGATCCTCTGAGCCGGCTTGCTCTTAGACTGATCCTTCCAGCCTCTCTTCACCTCTGCTGCGATCTAAAGTCCCTGAGTCATCACTTCCAAAACACTGTGTATAGGATGTGAGGACACTGAGGGACCTACCATCACAGGAGCGTAGAGAGAGGCTGGAGGGAGCACTGTCACAGTCGACAGGTTCCGGTGAGAATAACATTTCTATTATCCAACCTAGACCAAAACAAGTTGTTAACCCTTGCACTGTGAGGGTAGCTACACTGCAAGCATTAATACAAATTCTGCCTGTAGTCCTTCTTTGACCTCTATACTTATGATCTGTGTAATGTATTTGATTTGTGTCTTGCACCTCACTCTCCCTGTTCCTCTTGGCCTCAGCTCCAAACAAGTATCTGGAGAAATCTCCGACACTTGTGCAAGCCGGGGCACAGCTACATGTCTCGGAAGTTCTCCATGACCTGATCTTTTAAATTCAATATTTTTTTTTTTATTTAACACAATTCAGCATTGACAAAACCAATTCTCTGTGGAGAATTAACAATCACAAGTTATACAATATGTAGAATACAAACATGTGTTGAACAGTTGCAGTTATATGTTAAGCAACAACTCCAAATAACCCCACTTTTTACATTGTGAGGTAAGGTAGTAACCGGGGAAGGTACGTACAGTATTGGAAGACAAGGGAGAAGAGGGAAAGAAAAGGAAAAGAAAGCCAAGTACTCAAGACATAGAGCATCTTTCACGTATATAGAGCACGGAGATATATGTTAGCCTTGCCAAGACGACCAGGCATCGTAAAACCTTTTTGTGGAACCATCTTGAAATGACATAATCCGCTCGTGTTGATAGTGTAAATTCACTATAGCTACCGTTTCGGATATATTTGGTGCTACTAAACTTTTCCAATGGCGCACTACAGTCAACCTTGCCGCTAGCAGTATGTGGGACACTAGGATCCGATACTGGGGTGGGAAACAGTCAACACCCAGTGATAGGATCGCCAGTGCGGGTGATGGCTGCACAACACATCCCGTGGTGCGAGAGATCTTTTGGAAAACTTGACGCCAAAAACTCCTTAGACATCTGCACTCCCACAAGATGTGATACAAGCTTCCTATTCGCCCACAGTGTCTCCAACAGTCTGCCGTGACTGATGGATACATCTTGCTCAGCTTAAGCGGTGTAAAGTACCATTGCAGGGTAATTTTGTGCCCCAGGGTCCAGAGGTCCGCGCATTT